AATCTACCACTGGGGTAACACCAAGAACAACAGACTCCACCCACTGTGTGGAGACCGGCTAGGAGGACATACTTGGGAGACAAGCAGTGGCTGTTGGGTCAGGCCAGCAGCAGTGAGGCCGGAGAGGAGGGAAAGGCTTGGGAGCTACTCAGGAGGGGGAAGAGACGGGGAAGGAGAGGAGAGTCTTGAGGATGACTTGAGCAGTGAGGTGGATGGTAAGACAAGCAGCTTTGGTGAGAAGTTTGGAAGGAAGGATCACGTTCAGCTCAGGACAGGACAAGTCGAGGTACCCGTGAAGCACCCGCCAGGCATGTGAAGTGGACAGATGGGGCTGTCTGGCAGCTCAGAGGACAAGCCTGGGTGTCTATGAAACCGCCCTTCATGCCAGATACGATGCACCTGAGACACTCACTGGGTGGCCAGTGAGTAGCTCAGTACTTCTTAGGCTGGTTGTGTGAGATCCTAGACCACATTAGCCCCCCTCTGCCCAGTCCTGTGTCTCCTTGTCTATGACTCTCCCTGGCCCATGGCTCCTTGAGGATAGAGCTACAGTATGTATCTGCACCAACACCATCCAGGACAGGAGAACACAAGAGTCAATGACCATGTTCCAAGCCACAGAAAGGCACCAATTAGAAACAGCAGTTGACATCAATTTTTAATTTTGTAGCACTCATTATTATAGTTTTAAAAAAATCTCTCCTTATTTATAAGAAAAACAGAATCATACAGATCAAAACATAGGCAGTTTAGAAGGTACAGCACAGAGGTACACAAAGTGAGCTTCACAGGATTCGGCAGTTCAGAAGCGTCATCTGAGATGGCGGAAATGCTCTGCACGAAGCTTCCCCAAGGATGAGCTTCAGAGAACAGTGGTCACTGGGCTGCCACATGAAGCAGAAGAGCATGATTCAGCTCAGGAAGCACTGACAAACTACCCTCTTCCACTTCCACAAGGGGTGGTCAGTTCAGTCATTTCATTTCATGTTGCCTGTCAACTGCTTCTATCTCTTTGCCTGTGGGACTGATTTCTTAAAGCCATCCTCTCCCCAACGTGACCCTCGGACCCACCCCTCTGCAGCCTCAGGAAAATTGGGGACAGTTCTGCTTCCAGTCTAGACAGGGGCACCTAGTGTGCTACACCCACCAGGCCTGAGGTTCCAGTGGGCCCAGCGTCTTGGCCATGATCCTCTTTAAACCTGAAGGATGTGGGAGACCCCTTTATCCAGTTACAACCTAGTAGCCAGGGGTCAGGAGGTGTGGGTTGCACTTGCAGGCAGGAAATCAGAGAACAAACAGAGCAAATATTTCTCACTCACTGTGTGGGCATGTGTGAATATAAGCATTCACTTACAAGGTGTTATGATTTAGATCTAAATGTTTCCCAAAATTCTCATGTGTGTTCAAAGGCATACGGGGCCCTCTACTCATCATGGATTTACCCACTGATAGCTGAATGTGCTGTTAGGTGGGGGGCCTGTTGGAAGAGGGGGGTCACTGTGGCCATGCCCGTGGAGGGTGTATCTCCCTCCCTGACCTTCCCTTCTGTCTGTCTTCTGGACACCATGGGTTGATCGCCCAGGCCTTCACCCAGGGCCCTCTGTCAGCCTTTCTTAGTGAGGCTGCCTAGGAACCAGCTGACCGTGGACCAAAATTATGAGCCAAATAAATGTTTCTTCCTTCCCAGGTTGTATATGTTGGGTGTTGTGTCCAGTGATAGGCAAGTGACTAAGACAGAAAGGCCTAAAATGGCTTTAACGTTATCAGCACCAAGCATCATTAAATGAGGAGGAATAACCCAGCATGTTGCTTTCGCATGTGTAAGCAAGACAAGGAAGCAGAGGTTTGCCTGCAGCAGGGAGAGTGAAGGCATTGGCATACGGCAGGAATCCCATCTGAGAACAGAGAAAATGGCTCAAAAACAAGCAATACAAAGAGCAATGCCAGGAACCCAAAGGGGGCAGAATTATAAAACGGGGCAGAAGTTGGAAAAAACATCACAAGGAAGAGAGTAACATCCTCAAAATGAAATGAAACATATTTATTCATCTAAAAAGAAAAAAAGGAGAGAAATCTGCTAGGCTTTAGTTATGCATCTTGTGCTGAAAGCATATTTTGGTAGTACAGATCACAGAGGAGGGGCAGGGCTAACGCTCCCACTTAACGTTTGCTGTAATGGAGATCAGTCCCTTGTCCACTTAGCATCAGAATCAGTGTCGTCCTGACCACTCCCTGAGGTATTGTTGAGAGGGAAAAGTATTCATGAACAGTTAGCCCTGAGTCCAGTGGAGGAAAGGGCCATCTGCAGACTGCCACGTTTGATCTGAGCGACAAAGCTGTAAGGCTGGGCACCCCCAGGAGCCAGGCCCCCTACCTCAGCTCTGCCACCCTCATCTGTATCTGTCAAGTTGTTAAGCAAGGACACTCTTCCTTTCTTTCTGAGGCTGCTTGTGAGGCTCCTGACACCCAACCTGTGCTTAGCCAAAGACTGGTTCCAGCTGGCATGAGGATGAGGTGTAGATTTTGTAATCCAGCAGGGGGCAGCACCACACAGAAATTATTTCTTAGGACTACCTGGGGAGCAGCGTCTTCTGTCTAAAGCCCCAATTTTCTGTGACTGAATAGTTACTATTTGGTGCCACAAAATAAATGATTTGTCCACACAGTTTTATTTTTTTGTGGTATTGATGGTAAATCCCAGCATAATGTAAACCTTAACAATTTAAACTTTATCATGCTGAATAGCTTGTGCCTTACTCTTGCCCCCTCCTCCAGTGCGGGTGTCCCCGAGTGTGGATGTGTCCCCCGTGCCCAGTGTGCTTTGCCTCCTCTTCTCTTCCATGTGATACTCTGTTACTGCAACTAAGTAGAATGCATCTTCCATAGAGACTCATCACAGATATAAATAGGAGTTTGTTGCATGAGACGGTCCCGGCAATTAGCTGGAGAGATTTCCCTATTCTAATAGCACCAGGCCCTCATCCTAAGCAGGTCAGTTTACAGTGGGGTCAACTTAGCACAGATTCCCAGGACAGGTGATGAGCAAAGAAAGCTCTTCAGGGTCAACGAACTTCACTTTTAATAATTACTCAATTTGCCACAAAGTTACTTTCTTTTCATTCTTTCTGCTGTAAAGTATCAGTGTGTTTATGCTCTTACAATACTTGTTTACTATAAATTAATTTTAAGAAAAATTGGAGTTATTACACAACTGACTTTGGGGGGGGTGCTTTGGGTTTTATTCCGGTACCAGGAACTGAACTCATGACCTTGTGCTTGCCAGGCAGGTGTTGTGCTGCTGAGCTAAATCCCCAGCCCCTACACAACTGACTTACACTTGTATTTCAGTTGAGAATTACTGTTTCATATTTCTGTATATAACAGAGATCAAAGTCGTCTTACATTTAATCAAAGTTAGAGCCTAAGTAAACTTTAATTTTGAAAATCATTTGGTTAAGTTTTTCTCTGCTAATATTATGCTCCTAATTAATTTAAAATCTCAACAAAAGAAATGCCAATCAATATGGATGTCAATATGTGTAATAATGGTACCCATCAAAACAACAAATTTGTATCAATTCCTCTATTTTAAAAGAATATCTTCCACCACAGTACTTTCCCTATGTAATTATCACAGGGATTTAAAAAAAAAAGACAACAAAGATGCTAAAAGCTTTCATAGTCATGCTGGAAGCTGAGTAGCGATAAACCCAGAGGTGGAAATTATTAGTAATCGGGACTCTGGAAATGATGATGGTGGTGGGGAGAAGGATGACAGTCACAGCTTTCCTGTTATCTTGAATTGAAAGACAAAAGAGCCCCTTCAACTCTGTTTTTTATTGATTTGCCTGAGTGCTGAGTCCTGCTTGACATTTTTGATCTCAAGAAAGGCGTTCAGCTGACACCAACAGCTGTGTTGCAGGTAGATCTAAGGGCAGTCTCCGTTTAAAGTCACTTTGGGGACTGGAATTTTGAAGCTGAAATGTGTGACCATGGCCCACAGAGGCGAGGTTGATAGAGACCCATTTCCCCAGGCTAGCCCTCCAAAACCTTCTACTTTAGAAGTGCGTGACATCTAGAACTTGCTTTTGATTAGCGCCTAATCACCAATCACCCGTGAAGAAATTTTCATCCCATGGTGTGAATTTTTTCCAGACTTTAAATCTGGAATATTAGGAATATTTTAAAGTTGGGATCACTTTGGCTGCTGGGGCCTCACACTGGAGAGAGCTGGAAGCCTGCCCCTGCAGAAGCTGTCCCAAGCTACCAAGGGAGGTGGTGGCTTGGAGCAGAGCAGGGCTTCCAGTCCGCAGGGCCGGCAGGGAGTAGGCAGGGAATGGGCAGGGAGGGGTGGGAGCTTCAGTCCTCTTCCTTCAGCGGCGTCTGCCCGCTGTGTCTCTGCCCTTTGCCAGCCTCAGAAGAGGGGGTGTCTTTGGAAATGAGGGCACCCTTCTCAGCCTCTGCTGCAGGAACGATGGCAGAGCCGCTCTTTTTCTGGTCCATTTGGGAGCAGGAAGGTCCAGGAGGGAAGCAGCAGCCTGAGGAAAGGAGAGTTTTCCCTTCCTGTACCCTAACACTGCCTCTGGGTGGCCACAGGCTGGACTGAGGTGACAAGTCTGTGTGGGTGGAGCAGGGGAGGAAGGGTCTTTCTGGAGGTGCCTGGCACATTAGCCACAGGGAAGACATCTGTCAGTCAGGGAGCCTCCCCTTACATCACCAGGGTGGCAGAATACAAGGAGGGATGCCCATAGGAACTCAAGGGCTGGAACCTTGCTGCACAAGCTAATCACAACCTTTTAAATTGCATTTTCCTCAAATGTCCAAACTGAACGCACAAAGTCCTTTCACATTTTCCCAAAGTAAATCCTACAAGCTAAGAAGGGAGAACTGTCCCTGGTAGTTTAATGAAAATGTAACACAGCTGGGCATGATGGTGCACGCCTGTAATCCCAGCACTTGGGAGGCTGAGGCAGAAGGGTATCTGTGAGTTTGAGGCCAGCCTGGGCTACAAAGTGAGTTCAAGGCCAGCCTGAACTGCACAGCGAGATCCTGTCTCAAAAAAGACAGAGAGAGGGGATGTAGTACATCAAATCAAATTCGCGGGCAACTAGAATGTCCCCCATCAAGTTCTCTACAGAACTGGATCCTGGCTGATTCTGTGAAGTACACATTTAACAAATGCCTCATTGAACACCAATTTCCTAGAGAATCAATTTTTTACATCACATTTCATTACTGGTTGTTACATTAAATATATGAGGCAAAAAGTGTGACATTGACCTGGTAACTCTGGCCAGGTGTGATGACCACCGGCCGGGACGGATGAGCACGTGTCTGCAGCAGAGGCTGCTCCGAAGTTTGCCTCTGGCAGGGACGCTGACTGTGTATTAGCAACCTAATGAAACCCCATAACCATTAGCAGAAGAAACATGGTGGTTTAGCAACTAATTTAGAGCCAACCCTAATCTTTCTGGGGTGTCTAGTCAGCACTATTTATCCCTTTGGTTTATTTTTAATTGGGGGCTAATACAGAAGCCCCCACAAACTGAACAGAGGGCCTTCACTTTCTAAGCCCATGGCCAAAACCAAATAGCCCTTTTGTGGACTTGTCAGCTCAGCCAAGCTCTGCCTCTGTCTCTTTTTGCCCCCAAAGAGCCTAGAAAATCTGACTTCTTCAGTTACAAATCCTCCCATCCCCATAATTGCCTATTCCTAAAATAATCAAGTAAGAACATCGATATTCTTTAAACCAAACTTTCCATTTGGTGTAAAATCTTTTGAGAGTTGGATTTTAATTCATCAGCAGAGATGTTCCTCTGTATGGCCACCCTCTCCTGTGGCGTCAGTGGGTCTAATTTTCATCTGGGATATTAGGTGCTAGAGGAGGGTGCAGTTCAACAATGGGCCAGGTGATTCTTATTTATTAATTAACTGGGTTTCCTCTCAGGGAGGAAGCACTCCACCTTTCATAAAAGAGAAAAAGTAAATATTAAATTAACTTTTAAAAAATCCTGGATAACAAAAGGGCATTTTGAGTAGGATTCTTTGTCAATTACCGTTCCCATGATACTTATTAAACTCTGATTCTTCACTCTGTCCTCCCAGTAATGACCAGTTTTCATATTTCTTTGAAAAATATCGAAGCAAATGACATTGCGGATAGTCTATAGGGTACACAACTTTGAATAAAAAAGATGGCACACGTGGTCTATAGCATATGTCCACATAGTACTAGCCCTTGTTAATCACCTAAGCACTTTACAACAAAACAATAACAAAGAGACAAAACAGGGTAACTTCTCATTGCTGTCCTCTGCTAGGCTGTGCATGTGCTGGTCACCAAGGTGCTTGCAGGGATGATGTCCTTATGTCTAGAGCCATCAACAGTCTTGGGTCCCCCTGAAATCTCCAGCAGTACTTGAGAGGATCGTTTTATTTTCATCACGGCATGAATCCACCCTGATTGTAGCCATTTTCCCTTATGTAAGTCTATAAAATATTTTTTCCCAATTCCACATTCAAATATTAAATTAAATCAGATGTGCAAAAAGAAATAAACGATCTGCCACCAAACCAGAAACTACTCCTCCTCAAAACCACCAGCCTTGGGGAAAACAGTGTCCACCATTCCATGTCCTCATCCTAAACTCTTAAAAGGAACAGGTTCACACTCCTCCTTGGCTGTGGTTGCTCCAGGGTGCAGCAGGCCCGTGCCAGGGGGACAGGGGCTCTAGACGTGCGAGCGGTGGTCAGAGCGGTCAGCTCGTCCCCGCCTGGGCCACTCCTCCTCCACCCACCTGCGCAGGACCTTCTCCACATCGGCGCGGTGGTAGAGGAGACACAGCTCCATCAGCTGGTCCACCGTCCTCTGGCTGTTGCGCAGCAGAAACTCCAGGGTGGGGCTCTGAGGTCTCTGCTCCAGGAAGCACAGTTCGTCATAGGGCATGCCCCATTTGCTTGCAAAATTCCGCCAGTTTTTCACTGTTGGGTGGCACGGATCTAGCTTTATCCTGATCACATCTAATAAGTCCTGGTCATTGAGCAAGTCACTTATGGTGGGGGCCCGCAGCAAGCAGGAGCAACAAGCACAGTCTTCTTTGCAGGGGTGGTCCTTGCTGACATCTGCAGGAAGAAATAGTGCACAGGTCAGCTGAGGCTCTACCTACACATTCATTTCTTAGGTTCTTATTTTCCTGCGGAATTATCAATAGCACCAGCCTTCCTTAGAGAGGAAGGGTGCAGAAAACCCACTGCTCAGCACTTACAAGAATATATATATATTTTTAAGAAGTGGAAGAAGAATTAGTAAGACTTTGTATTTCTGGAAGGCAGCTATGCTCACTACTATACCACCAATGCACACAGGACTTCGTATTTCTGTCCAAGACACTCTACATCTTCCCATATGCATCGTGGGACCACTGACTAAAATGAGGGCTCTGGGGACAGGTCACAGTCCAGTGGGCCCAGCCTGGAGAGAAGCCAGCCCTGGCTTGTGTATGCTCAACCTGTACCCTTGACAACTCTTAAATACCAAACATAGCATGCTAGGGTGCAATGGATTGCACAAGTCTTTAAAAGTTTTTGAAAAAAAAAAAAAAAAAAAAAAACTGGAATATCCACTCCATATGCATATTTGAAAACAAGTGATAATTGATAGTGCCAGAACACTTACTTTTAAAATTTATGGCCACCTTATCTTCCCTAGGCCTTTATCTCTGTTTTCTTCACCTGCGGGGCTCCCTCTGAAGTGCAGCCAACAGCCTCGGGTGTGCAGTGATGTGTAAACAGGCCGAGGACCACAGCAGGCTTGGAGCTGTCCCCGGCCCCCACAGGGAGACGCCTTCTTCCCTCCAGGGTCCTCAGCCTCATTTGTTACCAGGAGTGGGAGGATGGAGTGAGTGGGTAAGATGCAGTTGGCAAGTCATTTATAATAAACTGCTGTCTGCACAACATGGCAAATTGATCTGCAATACAGTCTCATGAGTCCTCTGAAATAGCCAAGGGTTTTTTCCTTTTCTTTTTTTTTGGTCTTTTTTGGGACAGGGTGTCATTATGTAGTTTAGGCTGGCCTGGAACTCACTTTGCAGCCCAGGCTGGCCTTGAACTCACAGCAATCCTCCTGCCTCAGCCTCCCCAGTGCTGGGATTACAAGCATGCACCACCATGCCAAGCCCAAGGGCTTCTTTAGCGATCAATGGCTTAGAAGACTCTGGGGAAGTGATGATGACCATTGCTGTATATGGTATCACACTGATCCACAACCTCCCAGTCTAGAAAAGTGAAGAATTTGGACCAAGAAAGTCACCTTGGTGATCTTGAGAACCAGCAATTCTGAGGCAAGTACAAATTAAAAGGCAACAAAACAAGAGCTATGGCAATTTTGCTCATACTCTCTGACTTATAGTGTGACTTCTGGGATTACAGCCCAAAGATGTAAACACAGGAACATTTTATTACAGTGTTAGGCCTTTTTGGGGGATCCTGGGGGTTGAATTGAGGGCCTTCACACAGAACTACATCACTAGACCTTTTATATTTTTCAGACATGGCCTCACTAGGTCACTAGCGTGTAGGGTCTTTGCCTTTTGCATTTACAAGACAGTCCAGCCCTTGTGTGGTGGTTAGGGTACAGTGTCAATTTGAATGGCTTTGGAATCCTCCCTGGGGACTGGGAGAGCACAGGTCTGTGTGTGTGGTGAGTCCTGGAGGTGTGACTTTAGGTACTTCACATGGTCCCGGGTCCCTGCCTCTTTGGGCCTGTTCCCTCTGCCACTATGAACTCAATAGTGCTCCTCTGCCAGGCCCTTCAGCCATGAAGTTCTTGCCTTGGAGCCAGCTGACCATGGACCGAATCTCCCAAATAATGAGCCAAATCAAACCTTTCCTCCTGTAAGTCGTGAGTGCTGGGTATTGTGTCCCAGGGATGGGAAAGCTGATTAACACACTTTGGCACACAGCAAGTGCCTAATCCATGCTGAAGAGGGAATGGATGCACTGGTGATTCTGAGTGATGAGTCCTCTGCTCTCCTAGCTCTAAAATCAGCTACGGAAAACTTCTCTTGATTTCTGGGTGACATCACCAACTCAATGCACCCAAAGAGTACTGAAGAAGTTCTCCCAGAAGCACCCCAAAAACCTGGACTCCCTTATTCACACCCTGGTTTCCCGAGTCCTTGCAGACATCCACCACATCCTCCGCTGCCAGGTCCCAGCTCCCACCACTGTCTCATTGCTGTGGCTTCCTCAGGTAGGTCCTGTGCTCCGGCCAAACCGGACCACTCAATTTGCTGTGGTGTATTTTTTTAAGTTTAGTTTAAAAGTTTTTAAAGCTAATATAATCAAAGTGTAGAAAACTTGAAAAATATATAATTATGGATTTTGAATGAACTAGTAAATGCTTAGAATTCTCCCAAATTTTCAGAACTGTGGGTGATGGTGCCCTGCAGACCTTTCATATAAATGTCTGCCCCATCTGAATCCCCCCACCGGTAATGGGACGTGGGGTATGAGCATTCTAAGGCTGTTGCTGCGTGTGCCCAAAGTCACTTTACAGAAATTAAACAAAGAATACTTTTAAAACTAGTACTCAGGGCTAACAAAGGGAGTGAAACTAGGTGTGGTGGTGCCTGTAATTCTAGCACTCTCTCAGAGGCTGAGGCAGGAGGACTGCAAGTTCAAGCCCAGGTGAGACTCTGCCTCAAAATTAAAAATAAAAAAGGGCTCACGATGTAGCTGAGTGTGAAAGCCCTGTGTTCAATCCCCGGTATCACAAAGAAAAGAAAAGAATAGAGAGCAAGGGAGGGGGAGAGGAAAAAAGAGAGGAGGAGAGAGGGAGGAAAGAAAGCAAAGAGGGAGGGAGGGAAAGAAGAGGGTGGACAAGACACCCTAGCGACGCTCTGGTCACGATGTTAACTCACTTTTGTTAGCATAAAGTACTAATTTTAAAAATCCTTGTCAATTCCATATGTTAAAAAATGATATGCTGAAAAACCTACCAATGTTTTCTTTTTGTGTTTTCCTTTTTTTTTTTTTTTTTTTTTTTTTTTTTTTTTTTTTTTTTTTTTTGGTTTTTCGCCGGTACCGGGAACTGAACTCATGACCTTGCGCTTGCCAGGCAGGCACTTTGCCGCTGAGCTAAATCCCCAGCCCCTTTTTTTTGTGTTTTCAAAATCTCAAAGCATAAAGTATTTGCTGAATTGTGGCCTTCATAGCCTGACGACATGAATGGCTTTAGACCCTTTTAAAATCATAAACTGATTAGCTCTCCCAGGGGTTTCAACAGAAGAAACAATTTTTTTTCCTATCCAATATGTTTTGTCCTGCTAAACTTCAACAATCTATCATGTATATTACACATGAAAAGGAACACTGGGAGACGTCTCTGGGAAGAAGGACTTCGATCAAAGACATCTTCATCAGGAATGGGGAAAGCTGGGTTACAACTGGAAGCCTCTCCAATGACAAGCTCTGGGCACACATCAGTCACTGGATAAGTGAAAGCTACTGTGATGATGATCAACTGATCCTTCCTCTCCTGAGAAATTCTTCCTAGAAGTTCAAAATTTAGTTTTTAAATGAGAGCTGTACTTTTCCATGGGAGACATGGTAGATTTATAATTGTTTAATGAATCTCAGAAGGGAAAGAGAGAACACATAGTAAAGGAAGAGAACATAGTAAAGGAAGAGAACACATGATAAAGGAAGAGTAAAGGAAAAGACTACTAGCAGTAACTGGGTAGAAAATAGTATGGAATTGGAGCCGGGCATGATGGCTCATGCCTGTAATGTCAGGATTCTGTGAGGTTGAGACAGGAGGACTTCAAGTTCAAGTTCAGCCTGGGCAACTGAGCAACTGAGACTCTGTCTCAAAATAAAAAATAAAAAAGGGCTGGGGTGGAGTTCAGTGCAAAGGCCCTGGGTCCAATCTCTAACACACACACACACACACACACACACACACACACACACACACACACATAATTAGTCTTTAAGTACAAAAAGTGTATCAGTTCTAGGTTGATGACAAAAAGGGTGGATTGTTGAAAAAATGTAATTTTCTATAAAAAGTCATCTAGCTTCTGTAAAAATTAGGGTCCTCACCCTAAGTCAGGGGTTCTGTATTTTCCCTCATATAAAGCAAGACTGGAAGCTGGGTGTGGTGGCACATGCCTATAATCCCAGCACTCAGGAGGCTGAGGCAGAAGGATCGTTCTGAGTTCAAGACCAGCCTGGGCTACAAAGTGACCCCAAGGCCAGCCTGAGCGGCATATTGAGACCTTGTCTCAAAAAGACCAGAAAAAAAAAAAAAAAAAAAAGCAAGACTGGCATATACTATTAGTTTATGACCACAACTTCTATGAAAGGCCAAAGCCCTGGGAAGATTTGCCCTCTGCAAGTCTAGCTTGAGTACTGGCTTACAGTAAGGAAGACTGTCAGGGAAGGGAGGCCTATTTTTCCAGGTCACAGTGACTCATTTACCTGGTCTCTAATGTCTACCAGCCCCGCACTGGGTCAGTGACAGTCACAGTCCCAGATCATCTTTCCAGTCTGTACTAGGAGGGGCTCCTCAAATCCCTGTGCTCCAACCAGCTGGAAACTTCATTTCTCAGACCACGGAACATCTGTGGACCTCACGTTCCTCCTCTGTAAGATGAAGATGGTAATAGTTTCGGAATCGATGATGAGAAACCTTTTCTGTCAAGTCTTGGGTAAATCTTATCTAACATGCTGTTCATCTACTTATTTGTTTGTTTATGCAGTACTGGGTATTCAGTTCAGGTAGCACTAAGCTATATTTTCACTTCTTTTTTTTTTTTTTTTTTTCAAATTTTACTTTGAGACATGGTCTTGCTAAGTTGCCTGGGCTAGCTTCAAACTTGTGATCTACCTGCCTCAGCTTCCCAAGATCTGGACTTGGGATTATAGGCGTGCTACACCATGCCTGGTGTCTTAGTTACTTTTCTCATTGCTGAAACAAAATGCCCAACACTGAGAGGTAAAGGAGAAAGTTTCTTATAGCTCACAGTTTGAGCAGGTTTTAGTTCATAGCTGGCTGGCTCCAAGGCAGTGTGGCATGGTAGAGTGGCATCACGGAGAAGAAACAGTTCATGGCATGCAGA